TAGCGATAGTATGTCCTTTCATGTTTGAAACCAACGTTAGTTAAATGAGCACGTGCGCAATCATACTCCATGGGAAATGTGATCGCCGTTTTACCGCACAACCGTTACTACGATTATGGCCGCACTGTGACCAGCTACCTTTGGCAGCTTATTACTCGTGAAGGTTCGCAACATTTCCGCCTGCTTTACTAGATATTTAGTATACCAGCTACTGACCCGGTTCTAGAACCTGGTTCCACGACAATGCTGACATACATGAAACAGATATGAATCCACCCGTTGCCTCCAAATGCGGCAGATCGCGACCGACTGTCCCTTTAAAGTTAGTGGAGGTGCCCTTGGCTGGCGTGGTGTAAAATGCGTTCCGTACTGCTAACTGACGTGGCTCCGGTTGGAGAGACAGTGGTAGTAGCGCCAAGTTTGACAATTAAATTTGTAAATGTTGCTGCGATTTTGCAGTGAACGGCGCTCAGTATTCGCACAATGGAATTGAATTTTCGACAGCCCAAACTTTTGACTGATGCATTAAAGAAATCGGGCAAATGAGTTCAGAGTACCAGTCCAAACTTTTGACCCCCGTTCAGTCATCCGGGAGACTCAACGGTGCTGGGAAATTATTTCACTAGACTTTTCTGCCAGAGGTATGATTGCTTCCAGTGGACAATGAAATTTGGTGAACTGCAGAATTATCAACGTAGATTGGGATGGTTTTTGTTTTGAGCACATAGGCAACAAAATGCAACATTTCTGCGCAAAAAGTTTTACTCCACTATTAAAGATTTTGCAGCCAAGAGCATTGTGCGGCTAATGGGCCCCGCAGTGAACACGTTAGTGTCTCTCATACTGGGTTCAGAAAATGTCATCCGCAGTCTAAAGTGCTTATGCTATCTTTGTAATGCACTACTCGTAAGGTTGCTGAAAATCCGTCGACAGCCCACGACCGGTTTCGCCCTTTTCGGGGCTCATCAGGTAGGCGCAGTCCCCGGGTTTCCATCAACCTTATGTTCTACTACCAAATTGCACGATATTAGCGAACATATACTTATTTGCAAACTAATTGCTTATGTTATCATTCCGCAATTTCTTTATATGGTACGCCTTCCCTTTCGTATCCCCAAAGTGGGAACAAGGTTGAAAACAACCGCTGACTGATTTCCGTCGGACTGTTAGACTGGTACTTTTGTACATTTATAAATCCATTACCCTATCCTTATAATGACTATCCTTCATCATTTTTGACAGACCCTGACTCATCCTCATCTTCTGGTACTCCTCCATGCTGTCTACGCGACCGAAGAGAGGGTGACAGCAAGTGTCCAGAGTTTAGCAATCCACGTTTCAATTCACCCCCACTATCTGGGGCATACAGTGCCGCTGCAGCCGTCGCTGCTGCCTACGCCTATGCGTCTCAGTACATCCCAGGGCTTCAGTTAAGGGACTCAGCCTATCATGAGGCAAGTTTAGGATCCACGCCGTCTGTCAGGCCGCACAGTCCATCTTATTTGAATAGGAGGCAGACTACCGACGGCGCTGATCCTCATGTTAGCAGCTTTCCCCATGAAAGCTCTGACTGGCATGAAAGTAAATCTTACCACACGGCCATTGCTGGATGGGCTCTAACAAAGAGACAAATATATCCTTCAAGTCCGAAAAGCTCCCATCCTGGAGTAGTAAAACCTAACCATTTTAAGGGATCCGATAAAGGAAAACAAGAAAACACAAGGGATACACGGGCAACGAGTCCTGGAGAGCCAGATTTCCAACGTCCATACCATTTTTCGCAATCTTTGCTACTACCTGGTAGCACACCTGCGGGAAAAACCAGCCAGTCACTTTCGCCCAACGAGGATGAGGACATGGTACCAGTTGAAGATGAGTACCAAGAACAAGCTGGTAACTATAGGTGGACAACTGAGGCCTGCGTAAATCCACTCCAGTTGGAAGGTACGTGTGACTACTATCTAGTTATACATTTCCACTCTCGATCAGCCTTCCATATAGAAACAGACTCCATTGTTCTTCTCTTTTTTTACCCACTTACACAAAAAACTTTTCATTTTAACAAAATGTGGGAACTATAGTCCATTCCTCCGCGAACGATTCTTGAGGGTGAGTTAATCAACTCCCAGGAAAGTTGCTGAAACGAGTTCAGCCGAGATACTGATGTCCAGTTAGCCGGTGGTTCCGTTTACTAGAGGGAACGCTGTGAGAGAACAAATAACTGGCGGGTAGGTGTCTTTTCAACTTTGAGATTAAAACCATAAACGGAAAATCTGGGATTGCTGGATCACTCACCTGGAACCCAGCTGAATCTCTCGTTTGTGATGTTCTCAGGCAACTGAATGTCCTGCACCAGGCCGCCTCATGTTTCAGTCGCTACGATATTAGAGATATCGCGATACATGTATACGTTTGTAATGTACACATTCAGTTGCCTGAGATCATCACAAACGAGAGATTCAGCTGGGTTCCAGGTGAGTCTCTCGGAAAACCAAATTAGTTTGGGAAAAAGCACTCTAAAATGTTTGTCGAATCACGTTCTGTCTGTCCTCAATGGACGATCGTCTACAGTTTACTTGTTGATATTCCCATAAATCTGTGTACTGGAGTATTGTTACACAGGGGCAGTCAGCTTTCTTCTCCCTTCCTATTAGAGAGGTGTTCTTTGTATGGAGGGAGGAGCGGCCCAAAATCCATCTAACAAATGGAAGTTTCGGAGATTCAGGTTCAGCTAGGTAAAGCGGAGGTGATTAGGCTTGTGAATTTGTCTGCGAGTGGTTTTTAGGTCACTACAAATCTCGTGAAGATTGCACCGGATCGTTCACTGTCTGATTACTGGGGGTCTAACGAAAAACATGTAAAATCCCTCAACAGAATCTCGTGCAGAGTTGTCATATTGGATTTTGTGCTGTCGTGGAATCTCACGTGAATTTGTTACCAAGGTTAATTGTGAGTTGTTCACATAGGACTTGAACCATTACGCATAATCTCAACAGCTTGTGGCCTCTATTCCAACATCACATACCGCAAACTGCCTGTGGTTGATTTCTTATGTTTTTTGCAGACTTCCTAAAACGCGCCTTTTTCCATTCTTTAGGGCAGTGCAAATTTCCATTAATACTTTTGTAACGATTCTATGAAAGCTTGGGCTCTGCCAGGGCTGGTGCCACTGCTCAAAACATCTGACGAAGGGAAGGGGCAACGTGATTTGGGTGCAACAGACTAGCGGACGACTACTAGTGAATTAAAAATCGACTGAACTAATCGATACAATGTAAAGGGGATACCAGACTAATCGATTTTCAAACGGGCATGACACTATTTCACTTAAAACAACAGTAAAATTTCTGTCATAGAACCCCACCACTCTTGGAACTGAACCAGTCAGTTCTTACAGCCTGACCGACTTTTTTCGTTCACACAAAAAAAACTGAAGGGAAGCCTGATGAAACTTGTGTGTCAAGAGCGAAACGTCGCCCTAATAAAAACTACCGATTGTTTACCACGAGGGCTTTTCAGTCGGTTCCAAACCTTCTCCAATTGACTGAAAGGAAACGCTTTTGAGGAAAGTACATACGTGATTGGACAAAATTGCTTTCTCTTCTTTGGGTAACAGTCTCCATGGGTAAGTGTGATCTTCTTACGCATTAGAAACTAAACGTTTGCCCAGTCACGTATACATTGTTGTTAGCTTCGTTGACAACCTTGTTTAATTTGCCAAGAACAGACTAAGTGTGGAGACCCGCGTGCACTGAATGGCCTGCTTGTCCTCGATGTATCAGTTCATCGCGATGCTAGCATGTTTTCACCGACAAGCCCATTCGTACGGGCATCAAAAAAGTCATCCACTGTTCTCATCATAGTTGGTTTTAGTTTCAGGTAGTACATAACCCGTAACTGCAAGCGCATTAGAGAAAGTTATACTTGGAAGAGTCTGATCTTCGGTTTGCTACTTGTCAGTGGCTATTTTCTATTTTCAATGACCGGCCTTGATCTGGCGTGAGACGGGTAAGAAAAGTCGTTTTTTTCACTTGAGGAAAAATGCTCTTATTTAAGTGTAAATTGAACTAAATTTGCTCGAGTGGTTAGGGAAATGACTAGCCGACAAGATATTTTGATAAAGAATAACGTTATTTGTTGGAGAAAGCCTAAGATAACTTTCGTTGAATAGTCTATTCAGTGTGATAATGTGTGAACTCATATTGAATAACTACAGTACAGACAGACGCAACTAAATCATACGAAACTCTGTTCAGGGCTCTAATGCATTCCCACTGTTGTCGAAAACGCAAAGCTGCAATGACCAGACTTGTTTACAATGGCGAATGTCAGGCGACCGACGTCAACAGTTCATCAAATTTCAAGGCATAGCTAAGTTGGCAAACATTTCCGATGTTTACTGTAATATCTTCAGAAATAACCTCCAAACAAGCTAGTAAGTTTTCGTACGTATTGAACAACTTTCTCTTTGATGACAACGGTTCAAACTTCCTAATATCGCTCTCTAGGGATTGTTTTGCCACAATGTTGTGGCGATTTCAGAGAATGGTCGTGACCGAAGTATACTTGAACTAAGCTCTATTTGGATCGCACAGAGAAGCTATTTTCTCCGCACAATTTCCCTCTGACTTGAGCAACTATGAGAACAAACTCTGTATAATGTCATCATGGATATTTTGTCTGATATCACACTTGAGTTAGTTGCAATTATGTCAGAATAAACTTACAACTTCCGCAGATGGTGTTTCGGAAACTAGTAAAAAAACGACAAAAGAGTAGAGACATTTATCAGTGGTTGAACTAAGAATCACAGGACTTCTGGTCAATATTAACCTCCCGGTCGTTCTATGGCTTGAGAAGAGGCTTTGAGCGAAGGGCAGTAGCTGGTGGGATGGTGCTTACAAAAATACCAGTGAATACATGTTACATTTCAGCCTGTTTTGTTTGCCTTTTGTGCTCTTATTCCCGTTGGTTATTTATTCAGTATGTGCTCCGGCTAGCATGTCAAGTACCTGGTTGGCCTAAACAACAGATCGCTCCTGTTTTCTCTAGATCATATACATTCCGAAACGCGATCATCTCGAGAATGTGTCAAGTGTGGACAGCTAACCACCTCATTTTGGCAGCCTGATGGAACTGGACATTACTTGTGTGAAGTTTGTGGAAGAGATCAGAATCCAGCCACATTGTATTTCGACCATTTGCGGTCTGCTGTGGGGAATGGTCGGACCGACAATGTGCCACATTGTGCTACCAGACAGGTGGGCTACGACCAGATGAAACCCGTAGAAAACGCACCTGATGACTACAAACTTTTACAACAAGATCCATCTAATCTGTTCAATTCCCTCACTTACCGCCGCCCAGTCAGATCCAGCTTGAATAAAACTCTCTTAAGTCGCAGATCGGTAAGTTAAAACAATGGGCTATTCTTGAGCGAAATCAGGTGCACGCGCCCTTGTGAATTTGCTATGTTGTTTTTATGACTATCCCAAAATTTGCCTCTATATAGGGGGGGAGCGGACCAATTTTAATAAAACGACGAAATGATAAAAAGATGGACCACCCGGAGACAATTTGCCCTAGTCCAGACGTTCCCACATTGACAGACACTTTGGTAGGGTGGTGCCAACACTTTAGGCCACACAAAGTTAGGCTGTTAGTGCGATAGTGTGCGTGTGTGCTCGGGTCGGGCACATGGGCTTCCACAAACGATAACTCTCTCCCTGTCACCATCAGCACCACCATTAAATTCGGTATAAAAGTGCGTCTTCTTCGTGGTTTAAAGGATGTCAGTAAGTATAAACTATTCAGAGGTCGGTATTCATGCACCGTCATCACCCTGGGACGCGAAAACGACAGGAAGCAACAGCGGTTTATTCCCATATTTGGGAACTTTCGTTTTGACAAATTGACCTTGCCCATTCTCGTGGCTTATTGCGCTGCAGTAATGTTGATGCACACAAGTTTCTTGTGTTGGTGTGTGATTCTTTCTTTACTTTCTGCTTCTTTTTGTCACGGTTTTGTTTATAGACGATATTCAGTCCAGCTCTAGGGTTGGGTGAGGGCGATGAGAGTGACGATGGCACAGTGTGATTTGAAGACAGCCTGACAGGTCGTACCATATAAGTATGGGGAGCTATTCAACCACTTTTCTGACAATAGCGATGTATTGATCGAAAGTCGTTTAACTATCCACGAACCCGACATAAGTCTAAAGTGGGAACAAAATATGAATCGTCCTGATAAACGGTAGCTCGTTTTTATATTGTGGTCCAGGGTTCTCTGTGGTTACGGTCACAAGTCAAGTTTGTGAACTGGCGGTGCTTCTCGTCACCATATGCGGACACTTCATCGATCGAATCTCAGTTCCGTTCCATGCGGCTCTTGAACCAGCGTTTTACGCTGAACTGGAGGAAACGCACAAAAAGACGGACGCATCCATCAAGGGCTTAATCTGGTTGGCAAGCCCCTGAGTGAATGTTAGTGCGTACAACCAGTCCGACGACCTGCACTATCAGCGGTTTCGTTAAAATTGTGTCCGTCTGAACGGATGAACGACGGGGATGTGAGATTCTTGTCCTGCCTGATTAATCCCGATGAAGAGGAAAACGTTCACCTGACTGAGGTTTTCAGGATCTCACTTCAGACGGGGCTCTTGATAGAAAACGGTTATCCGCGGCTTCTAATACACCGCTGAGGAAGAATTGCCAACGATCATAATCACGAGTTTGAAAAATGGAACCTGCTTTCATGACGGCTTAAACTGCATTCACGGACGGACGCAACAGCCACAATGTGAAGCAATCTAACAGCCATGCTGGAGAAGCGTATCTTCAGAATTTGTTCAGTGCTCTTAGGCTAGCTTCTGATAGACCGCTACCCGATTAGGGTTTAGGAGTCTGTCTTTTTCCATCTACTATTGTGAGGAAGGCCAATTTATCGAGTTAGCTAAGCCATCGAAAATAGATGGTGTGACTTGCAGTTGCGCTAACCACCGATCGAATTGGGGTGTTTGATATCTCGGCCGTGGGATCGCGGGCGAGGTCAATAATTGTCATCGCAATGTGTGTAAATCTATACCGATGAACTCTTTCGGGATGAGTTGTCAGCCTTAAAGAATCAAGCAAAACCTCTATACATGATCTATACCCGTGATTTGGTGGCAAAGATGCCACTGAGATGCCCGCGCCAGATAGGAGGGTTCGGACAAGTCAGTTCGCTCCACCGATGTGTTTGCATACTGAAGAGGAATAGATCGAAATTTTGCGGAACAAAACCCTTCTAATGTTGATTCTTGGTGCAAACAATGGTAGACGCAGGCCAAAGTGGGATTCCATTCGTAGCATATGCATTGCGATTTGTAAGCTGAACGAATAAATATTTGAATTCTATCTCTCTACTGCACAGCATCTGTAAGGCCCATGGCGCGCAGTTTACTGTGGCTATCTGTTCGATCCTCTGACATACCACTTCCCCATTGTGTTTGTATTGCACGCCTTCTACGATCCACGCTACGCAATCGATGGTTTTATTCAGCGTGATCAGAACGTAAGGTGTTGGCTACCACTATACGGTTTTCTGCACCTGACGGACCATCCGGGAAAATTGAACAGCTTATTTTCTGGGACTAGGTGAGGAAGTGAAAAACGTGCGTGAATGGATCGCCCTTCTGTCATATCCGGTGTATATTGTCCACTTGTCGGTTTCTCCTCTCTGCCAGCTGGACGATACAATGTTTGATGCCTCGCGAACAGATGTCATGTGTGCAGGCGAACGTCTATGCACGTATGCCTTTGCGCAGGGCTAACTACACACTGCATACACTATGCAACATCTCACGTCTCCACAATCACCCCTCTCCGCAACCAACACGCTCTGTGACAAAAGCAGACCTGAAAGACAAATGGGTGGTCCGTATCGGACAAATCGGACAAATCAATTTAGTGGTCATTTTTGGGGCGCAAAACCTCCGGTGGTTCGATTTAAAATTTGTGGCCATCGAACCATCTTTGTCACAGGCATCCGGTTGCGGTGTTCACCATTCCCATAACAATAAAACTATATCTCTCTGTGTTTGTTTGGTTTCATACTCCGGTTTGTGCACATCTCTGCGTGTGTGTGTGTGTGTCTGTATATTGACGTTTTGTATCCCACGAGTAATTTCGCTCTTTACACCGCTCTATTTGCAGGTGGCGCGGCGAATTGGCCTTGTCTGCACCAATTGTGAAACAACTCAGACGACACTTTGGCGACGGAATGCGGACGGTCAACCAGTGTGCAATGCATGTGGACTTTATCAGAAATTGCACGGGGTAAGTGGACAACGAGGTCATCGTATCGGGACTAAAACAATTCGGTCTCCTCGTTTGTGCGTTCGAATGAGGACCACCATCGATTGAACGATCAGTGACCATGAGCAGTGCTCTTGCCGTACAGAAGCCATGCTCCTAAACGAGGGACAACACAGTAAATCTCGTTTAAGACCACAACTGTCGAAAACGTTTGCTCTATAGGGGTGGACGCTTTACAGAATGTCGATGTACGCTGGTTTTTGAAAACACGATGCAACCTAGTGCAAGTGGTGCGTTCGTACGTTAATTTTATAGGAGAAATCGTGATGATGAGTAATCCTCGAGTTGTTGATAACAGCGCGGCAAGTGCCGCTCATCCCGTAAGGGTAAGAAGACAAACGACCTTTTAAGGGGGATGTCAATTCCAAGAAATCTTACTGCGCCCGGGGAGATTATGAACAGGACGTGTGGCTTGATAACAATTCCCAGAGAACTTTCATGGCAAACCGCCTTCGGGTTTGGACCTGCTCAGTTGTCGAGACCTGACCTACCGAAGGAAATCCAGTGAGAAGCTGGAGGACTGAAAAAAGCGCATCGTGTAAGTGATGTATTCAAACAAAATTAGGAGAGCCCTTAAATCAGTGTACTTGAACTCAATGCCAGGACAAACATTTCGAGAAGTGACGAGTATAACAGGTGACTGTAAGATATAGGTTTGTCATGGGCAAGCCTTGCTTAATAACACTGCGACGCATATCAGCAAATAAAACACTGCCCACGATTATCGTGGGGGTTAGTTGTGCTGTTTGTATTCCTGGGCCTAGTTGCCGGTCGCCTAGGCCACATATAGTTCTTCTAAGCTATTGTAGCCAACACACGGGAAGTTTGAAATCACGGGGAAAACTGTGGCGGTGGATTACTTTCCATTTATAAACCATTAGTTCAGAAAGAGCCATATTCATATTGCACGGTTTTCTATGCCACAACCTCACCCGAGTCGCGATGTCACATTAGTCACACGACGTCTGCTGATTCTCACGACGGTTCGTCTGCTCTACCTCAAAGTGGGGCTGTAGCACGTGTCAGGCAAGTCCGCTGCTCCGTGATTGGCCAACCGCTATCCGAACACCGTTTGCTCATACGACCATTGGTGGATTTACCGAACGGCGATAAAGCGCGCAGGGGTGTTGAGCTGGAGTTAGCTGGTTTACGCACTTCCATCGTTCTCTCTTCATTCATCCATTCCGGAGGCAAAATAGGGTACAATGAACATTGAAACTGCTCAATACTTGGAAAGCCAGTATTCTAAAATGCTGGATGTCCATTCTTTAGGTATTTTGTGGACATCTCAAAGTGGTTTATGGTCACGATGTGAGCAACCTACGTCTACCTGACGTGAAGAAAAACACAAAGATAGGAGATCAGTTCAACTGGAGACGTTTGCTTTCTAAGAAATTTCGAACATTTTACATGTTAAACTTCTTTCACGATTGGTTTTTCGGACATACTCGTAGATCCCGTAAGTCATGCAAAGTTCCTTGAAGAACTCATGTAGTCCTTCACCACAGGACCTGCATTCAGCGTCATTAAAAAAATTAGCATAGTTTCGTCTGCATTTCACACAACATCGAGTAAGGTTGACAGCTAGACCAGTTAGTGTTGCTATCTACGACAACTTATTGTGATGGGGAAGGCTTCGTGCATGTTACCAGATAATTATTCCGTGCCTCATACCGAAGAGCACAAACTGCGAAGTTATCAAGTCACGACTAGTTAGAGGGGTATGAAAGAGATTACGAAGGGTCTAGGTGTCATTTGTGCAGTCTAACTTCGACGATGGGTCCCCGTGACTCCCTTGCTTTTTGTTGGAGAGGTTGGGAAAATGACGGATAACCGACATCAGTGGCGCCCATGCTGTTAGTTTTTTCCAGATTGTCTGGTCAAGCACTTCCAAGTGTGGGCTCCTCAGAATGCGTGATGGACGAGCATCAGCTCCTTCATCCACCCATTCCCTTCTCTTGTTTTCACTTTAAGGCTTTAAGTATAATCGAATAAACTTTATGACTGTGCGGCACTGAAGCATCACTACAAACAATGATGTTACTGCCTGCGATGATGGTGATAAGCTTCTTCACAGAGGAAACACTTCTGATATTACGGGGTATCGCTTGAAGGCTGCATTTGGTATCCCAGCTCGATTAGTTTCTTCTGTCGAAGAATAGCACTGTTTCTGGAATATACACGGGGATCATACTTCCTGTATACTCCCATAATAACTCGCACGCGTCGCTAACAATTTTGGATCCTACAGAGCCTGGATTTCCATATCCAGCGTATGGAGCTTGTAGGCAGTTTACTGAGTAGCAGAAACTGCGGATACCGGACTACTGGAGATATTTATTTTTAGATGTTTGTTTCTGACACCCCCCGAAACACATGGTAAGCTGACAAGTGAAGCATTCTAATACTTCCTCCCCTTGATCGCCTCCTCAAAGAATGATTGCTTATCGGCTGATACGCAGGTTTTCAAAAACCACGGCACCGATGTGTAGTTTAACACTCGGGTGGCACGTAAACGTAATTCCGCTCACAGAAATCAATGCGACTCAAACAAAATCGCAGATTCAGAGGCCAAATGAATGTAGGCGGATAGAGTTCAGACCGCAGAACCGTAACAGAGACGAATCTTGAAATGGAGATGGGACAAAAACGGTCTGACACAGTGCATATTCGTAATGTACTACTCATAACGTTGCTGAAATCCGTCGACAGCCCATGACCGGTTTCGCCCTTCTTTGGGCTCATCAGGTAGACGCAGTCCCCGAGTTTCCGTCAAGCTTATGTTCTACTTGAAATCGAATTGCACGAAACCAAATTACGAATATACATATATCGCGATATCTCGAATACCGTAGCGACGGAAACATGAGGCGGTCTGGCTCCTGGAGACATCACAGACGAGAAATTCAGCTGGGTTTCAGGTGAGTCTATCGCAAAATAAATTGGCCTGACATACTGTTTGAATATTCTTCACTCCGTCAGCCGTTTTCACAAAGATTTTTGCCGGCAAATGAATCACCCGAACTCGTTCACCTACAAGTCTACCACCTCCATCTCTTAGCCGCACGATGTCCCTTCAATTGGAACTTTTTGGACTCGTGAAACTGTGTGTGGTGTTATTTGTGCGGTCTGGCGGAGTGTTCGTAAGCTTTTGACAATTTTAACTGTAAGTCTACTGACAGTTCAGAATTGTTGTTCAATATGTGTCCGATCCTATTGAACAATATTGTGATATAACCAGTCGTAAAATTCAGGAAATACCCTCAGGAACCAAACTAAAATCCAGTGTTTTCACCTTGCGTGTTTGTCGATAAAACATTGGTTTCGCCCAACTTCAAGCTGGAATCGGGATGAATGTCTATCTGCCAAGATTGCTTGATCAGTTGGAGAACCCCACCATATGTGATCATTGCCTTTCTTACCGTTGTTTGGAAAAATGTCACTAGCGGCTGAAATCTGTGAGTCTGGTAACTTTAGTGTGGCAGCTACGTAGGCTAGTATCCAAAGGGAGCTTTGGAATTTCTGTTTTCTCCGTTTGGTGACTAATACGGTCACAAGCACAATATCAAGAGTATCAGAAGCTCATCTTTACTTACCCACTGGTGATTCTTTGATGATTTGCAACTTGCAGCCCTCCGACCGGTTTGCCTAGTTGATTCGCCCGTATGAATTTAGTTTCTGCGCTGATATCGCCCAGTCTACACGAATATGGATGGACCAGCAGAGCCCAAGAAATGCCTTTGAGGCATTGTCTGACATTCCAATGGCTGAGGCACCACAACGGGATACGGTCACTGGGGCGATCTAGAAATAACATTCAACTCTGCGGAGGGTCACATCACATCTATGTTTCTGTGCCCCTTCTCGCGTGGATGCACAACGAACACTGGGAATCGGTGCGCTGTTTCTGTTTTTACAACACTGGAAGTTCAGTCGGAATGCACTGTTGCTGATAGGCTTGTTGCTGCTGTGGTCATACACATTACGTAACATGCTCGATGGCCGAGAAACGAAACAACGATGGCTGACAGTCATCTCGAGCGATGAATTTTAGAGTGTCGGCAATGCCGGCTAGTTAGCTATTCTGACTCAGCGGCAGACTTTGCGAGTTTTTGTGGCGAATGGATAAGCTAAAATAACGGTTGACCTTCACATCAGGCCGTATCGCGAGTGCATCTGTTTTTCGAGCTTCAAAGTATGTCAACTGCTATACAACTAGAAGTGGTGATCTCTAAGGAAACGAGAGTTGTCATCTTTACGTGCAGGTAGCTCACATTCTGCATGTGAATCCAATTCATTAATTGAGCTATCGCATTTTGACATGTAGAAACCTGGCCAAGTTGATGACTGGCTGAAGGCTTGGAATTCCAATCAAGAAAAAGCTGCTAACAACATGCGGCTAAGCGTTCGGGTTAGACAGAACAACGTTTCCGGCAACCACAGTATTGCGCGCAACCTCCTGGCAGTTTTTGTTTACTGGAACTCCTATTTCCGGTTCTCAAAATTTCTAGTGAATAGACAGGCGGTTTTATGAGACATCCTTCACCACCAATAGGTGTGAATACAGAAATCTCTCATAAGAAACTCCGCCTCAGAAAGGTAACTCCAAGGAAAGGCTAACCATCTGTGGCCTCTCTTCGGAGTAGGATTACTGTGTGTAAACATGAGATGCAGCCCATTCCAAATTCCTTGTCGATCTGAGTATTGCGGTTTCTGGACCCTCAGAACTCTGGAAGTGTCAGGACGCGCCCAGACATGTGCAGAGAGTGACGCATCCCCAAGGTCACCATCGGTACGACACGTTCTGGAAGCAGGTGCGTTGGCGGGGTCCACGAAACACTGTTTAGCAACATGAGACCAGTAGATTGGGACTGAAATTGTTCATGACCGGAACACCGCCATTGGCTGTATAGAACGAACAAGTGAACGACCATATTTGGCCATTTAGTCTTCCTATATATTTACGCAGAAGCTCTGTTTGTTTGGTCCTGACAATACAATCGCGTTCAGGATTCTCTCTCTTCTCCTTATCGCGTAGTCTGACAGGTTAAGTGCAGGCGTAACCAATGGACGGCCACCCACGATACAACAGGAAGCTACGCCGGCAAATCCATGGTCCTGGCTGGGGAATAAAAGTCTCCCCGATAAGGCCACCTAAAAGTTCCAGCTGATTAATCCCGTATACTATGTATCATACTGATTAGATTCTGACCAAGGAGGTTGACCTGCTGTCGACCGACTGTTCGCTTTACCCACTCTCCTCAGGATTAACTCGACCAACAAGATGTTGCCTATTATTAGCTCACGATTATAGAATCACATGTTCTCCGCGAATTGTACGCCCGCTTCCACTGTGTCCCACAAGTATTGATTCCCAAACGCATTTTCCGTTCACTTCAGCGTACACGCCCTTCTTCAATGCGAAAAGACGCCATCCAGACGAGAAAACGCAAGTCAAAAAAACGTCGTGATTACAATTTAGCTGTTGCAGCAGTAGCTGCTGCTGGACTTCCTCCATCCAATACCATGTCGAACATCACTCCTTCATCAGCAAATCTAAACTCGGCGTTTCCGTACGCCCAGGGTTCCTTATATCCCAACCACCTTGGTCGCAGCGTGTTTGAACAGCGGCTGCTGGGACAGTCCCATTTCGGGGGTTCTTTCTTCCACATGGCTCATAACTGTCCGACCAAGTCAACGGAAATGAGCCAGGTCCAACTACCCCACCATTTTTCTTCGGATGGGAACGAAATGGAAAAATTGCGTGAGTGTTTCCACAGTTTTCCGATGAGGGAATTTATGGAGAGGGGAATCAGTTTTTGTTCTCTGTGTAGTTTTGAGTTAATTCTCTGGTTAACTACTCAACTACATTAATGTACGAAGATGGTTTACAATGGAACAAAGTTTATCTAACTATGTCAACGACGTAGCCATGAAGCAGTTACAGCTCCTTTCCGTGTTATTCTCAGGGTGAGGCCTAAAAATTCAAGTAAATGTCTTTTGTGGTTGTCAAACTGTTTGGTGATACTGTGAACAGCGAGATCAGGTAGCGAATCTTTTTCTTTTCTCTGGAAGTCATAAAACATCAGAAATCTATTAGCTATATCTATAGGATAAGCGATTATTGAACACCAGCTCACTTGGTCCCTCATCAGGTTACGCAGCCTGGATTCGTAAGAAGAGTTTAACTGATTTTCTGAATTTTTTTTAATGAAGGCTACAAAAGAAACATGTTTCTAAGTAAGGTCATTAATTTACCCACCCTACAAATTGTCTTCTAACTTGTCCCGTACAGGCGAAATTAGGCTACTACGGTACTACCCTCTCTTGAAATAGACGAACATAGATAGAGGGATAAAAGGATTTCCCCAATTTGGGGGACCAAGCATTTGATCATGATTGATAGGGAACATTTTTCAGGGACTCCAGGACGTGAACTCTGGTTGTGGAGGTCTGTACTAAGCCGGTGTTGTTTGAAAACAATGATTTTTATGAGTTTCTTAATTACTGAAGTTCATCAACAGGAATGGTCAGTTCACAATGCTTCTTACTACTCACCTACTCACAGTTGGTCACAATCTAATAGGTTTAATCGGTGATGTTCTGTCTTTCTTCTACTACAGACGCTTCACATTACCCAGCTCTTGGGCATTACAATACATTTGGTGAATTTACTCAACCAAACAGTTTCGAAGGACGATCATCACTGGATCATGTCGGCCGATCTTATTCAAATGTGTTGCTCTCTCAGCGAATGACAAACTATCCACAGTTGGTGGATTCTCGTTATGTACTTCGCCACGGGGGGCAGCATCCAGATGCTGGATCTCATGAACTATCAACAAATTTACCAAACATCTCAAATGAAACAGGTCGAGTAAATAACGGACGATTTAATCGCCAGAATCCTCCGGCACATATACTCGCCTGCTCCGAAAACGGAGGTGAATCGTTTGTCCGATGTTGTCATCAGTCAGCGTCATTGTCAACCCCACTGAAACACCCACCCTCATCGGACTTCCCAATGCATTTGAACCCACTTCCGTCTAAAGCTCATTTTTGTGTTGATTCGGAACACAACCGGAACAACGGTGTGCCCTATGGTTCCAAGTTACCCCAACTTGAGTTTCAGTCAACAACAGAGTATGTGTCCCCGGTTTGGCCCAAGGATCACCCAGTTCCAGCTAGCTTACGAATGTCACAAAACTCCACCATGTTTGTACAGGGACTGTAGAAACCCACAGTGCTGTGATAGAGATTTTTTTGCACCCAGCGCACATATATTATACACGAATATTGGCTTCCAGGTATCGAAGTTCTTGGACAATTCTGGCCGATTTTTGATAGCGACTCCGTGTGAACTGCGTTCAGTATTTCTTTGAACAGTTTTCCAGCTTTACCCCAAAAAGTACAGAGCATTTACTAAGCATTGACAATGTTTTATCTGTAATCATGTACGAGGTCACCTAACAGGGTTGAGGTCAAAAACTATTTGGTGTGAGCACAATCAAGCCCTCTAGCTTCAGTGACGACTCGAGATAAGTCGAAATGTGACGGAAAATTTGGTTTCTTCTCCCTAAAATACACGGTTCGAAGCCAGAATATTCTTCATAGGGCCGAATCCACTCTTCAAGTCAATTAAGCGTTTTCTGACGAGAATTTTGGCAATTTCATCCGAGATTTCGCGGTGTAAGTGAAGCTCATCTGCGCTGATAAGCTCCATACAGCTGTTTCATCCTTACTGGAATGCTCACGCTACCCAGAGAGTTTCGAAGCCTTAATCTCCCGCGCAGTAGTTGAACACTTAATGACTCGGCCAAGATCGGCTGACAAGCACTGTGATTAACTCGCACTTGGACAGGTTAGACTACCACTCATCCTTCAGCCATATGATAACGTGCGCCTTGGTTGCAGACTTTACAGATGAAAGGCTCACTTCTTTCTGAAATACTGATAGTTTGCTAACAATCTTTTGAGCTGTAGATAGTTTGTTAAAGGATAGCTCACACGATGAGTGAGCCCTCAAACTGAGAAGTAGTCACTCGGGTGACGTATATGAAATCCATGATCAATCGATGGATGGCACTATATCCTGTCCAGCTGTGAGTTAACACATTGATGACAGGGCGCTGGTGACCAAGCGGTATAGTCTTCAACTACCAATCATGCATTTCGAATTCGCATCGCCATGGAGATTCGTGAGATTCACACTTCTGCCAATAAGAGTGAAACAAATATAGAGCACTCCTCGGCCTTTCGGTATCGACCTACTTCAATTACAGGACGGAAATGTCTAGTAAACATTTCACTTTAAAATTTCGTCTCATTTTGTACAAAAATTACTGCATACTACTGAGTTGCGGGTTAATTTTTAGTTGGGACATTTATTCGTACTGAGTATTCCGGCGGGAAAGCTCATAACCAAAGTGTTTCCTCATCAGTCCAGAGCTTCGTAGCCAACTTGCTACGCAAAAGTATGTACTACTGGTGTATCGCTGCCCAGGTTATGCTGGAATTTGTACATGTTAAGGTGGGTCACCATATTTTAAGCTGATTGGGAAACCATGAGGGTTGTAACAACTCATTTCTGCGCTGATGGATATTTGTGATGTAAACCTTCACAGACTGGCGAACCAGGGGGACCCGTGGGGGACCGGCAGACGCCTGTCATGCAGTTATCCTCTCCGAAGCGGACTGCTAACGAGCCGGGAGGATGGTACTACAGCACTAAAAACTAAAAGACAGTCAAAGCCAATTAGGCATTGGTTCCTTGAGGACTTTCGCTCAGGTTGTAACATCACAGTGTTGACAATGAAATTCACCAGCATCAGCATGCATGAAGCTAGTTATCAGTCCAGACCCAGGTCAATTTATCGAAAACGCTCCGGAGACCACACAAGCGCACCATTGCACGCTAACGTCAGTTAGGGTTTCTCAAGACCTAAAAAGCTACGTTGTCTTTATTTTTCATCAGTGCACAGCCCTCTGTCAGGTAGCGCACTAGTTGGGTTGTGGACATTGTGAGCCTCGATGTAGCTGTTTTGGTGTTTCGATTTGTGATTTCCTCGAGAAAATCTGACCCACCATATACAGCTGCGCAGCAAAGCATGACCTTCGAATTTTTCGGGGACCCAAAGTCAGTTATATCCCTACAAGTTTCTGCTTGAAACAATCGATGGTAACTAGCGGCTATTCCTCAGCGCTGAATTGGCATTTGCTATGATTCGGTGGTTTCGCTCGGCAATTCCGAGCGGTTTTAGAGGATATTTTTCTAAAACAGGCTACTTTTTTCCCATAAGTAGCTAAAAGTTATCGCAGTTTTTTCTGTGCTGAGGTTCGGGGATGAGTGCACTGGTTGTTCTCGATTTCGTGACCACTTGAGGAAACAGTAGTTCACGCCACTGGATGGCCACATGTGCAGGTGCGGATGGCTGCACCAGTGAGCAACTCACATACCTGGCAGTTAGGTCAGGTGAATCGGATTCCTCGATGTTCGAGTAGATGAGTGAGCGGATGGTACGTGGAAAAATAGTTGACGAATTACTAGGGTGTTCAAGAAGATAACCGAACCGGTGACTGATAACGAAACACGTTAAACTGTTTGAAAACTTTTTCGAGTGAGCTGCCTCAACTTGACAGGCGAAAACTTTAATATGTATCAATCGACCGCTTGATTACTTTGGGGACTTGAGATTAAAACAAATATTATTACAGGAAGTTTGGCGTCTTCATCAAGCTATGCCCAGTCACTTATCACCAGGAAACTGACAGAACTCAACTGTTCGTGCCTGAAAGTGTTCTGCCTCCAAAATAATGCACGACTGTGAAATACAGAGCTGTAGCATTTGAGTTTATCGACACTTTAGCTTGTTTCAACCAAGGGAGTATCACTGAAGGGGACATTGGAAAGGTTTGTTGGAAAAAACTTGAGCCTTAATCACATGCAGACTATCTGATAGTCACCCCATATCACATGGCTATACGACGCTGTGCTCTCTGGTCACGCTATCTCACAGAATTCCAGCTGACTTTAACTGTCGGGATATGTCAATATCAAGGCGACTTTTTATCCTTTGCAATGATATTCATACTTAGTGACCGCATCTGTCAAAATCACCATTCCCCATGAATACAGGGAGCTTGTAATCCAACCAACCTGCGATCTATGCTGCATCTCTGCTGACTAAGGATGCAACTTGGCCGTCAGCGATACGAGACCGGCTGGAACAACGTCAGCTGATGAACTCATACTGGAAGTATGTTTACCTGATTCGCTCGCACCACCGTTGAAGAGACAAACCATAACCGGATAGTTGAATTCTGGAACCTGTCAGGAATGTTCGAATCGTGCAAACACGACAAGGACCCGACCGGTCAATTTCCAAAGGCCGGTTACTACATAAGCAAACAGCTTAAAAGTCGTTTAAGAGGGACAGAACTACTCGTTGTTGTTGCCGTAAATCTATTATGTTGACGCTCGACAAGGACTCGTCAAAAATGCTTATCTAGCAGAAGAGGTCATGGAATTTTAAGATCAGTCACTGACGTTCGTTAAGTGCACTTTATGGATGACAATAAAGTCTGAAGTTGTTTTTACTCCACTGCTTACCAGCCAATCGGAGTGAAAATTGCAACAGAAGTCTCCGTTTGCTGCAGTTCCTTCTTGTCAATTTGATACAATTCACTCTTCAAGACGAGTTCAAACGGTTAGAAGTATAGATCGATTGTTTTCGCCATCGCTTACTCTCTGGTGGGTCTTCCGCTCGTGTATCAGGCGCTAGTACGTCAGTAACTCGTGCGGTATTCGCTTCCCATCGTCTACTCGGTTGTGCATCGTCCATCCATTTTGAACATCGCGGAGTTCCGTGATTGCCTGATTTAACTACCACCAACTCAATGTATGTGATTCGCTTGTCGGTGCAATCAGCCGACTTGTGTAGTTAGCACTCATGTAACAGCGTAAGCAGCTGGTTGCCGAGGTGACCACCAAAGGTTGTACAGCCTTTACCTTGGTAAGTTGACTGCAATTATTCAAAAGCATAATAGGTACGTACTCCACTTCATCGGAAAAGACCAGAGCCCATCAGGATGGACAGTATTGGCGTTCGTTCTCCAGCTACCACCGCACATATCATTTGTGTGACATTGGCGATACTTCAAAGGGGCTCGAATGATGCGTTCTGTCGATATGACCATCTAATCCGAATGTCACAATTCAACCTTGAAAGGCTAGCCAACACGTGACCACTTGGTTTGGTTTTTCCTGATTGAACCATGAGTGTACTCTATCCTGTTTAAGTACGAGTTAATTACAATGCTGATTGACCGCTGGTGGTCGAAAGGTTTTGTTCAAACTACTAGCCAGGAGGTCGTGGGCTCTGGAATTTTCGTGAGAAGTACACTGCTGATGATCTTCAGTCCAAAATCTCCACACATTGTCAACAGTTCAAAGTGCTCAGTATTTTGTGGTCTGTGACCGAATTTTGTTACCTATCTTTTGGACTCACCTGCAAGAAATTGCTGAGCATTTGCCTCATTCTGTGTTAGATTTTGCTGTGAAGACAGATGAACAATCGAGATTCGCAGGCACAACGAAGCTCAAAGTGGACAGCGCACTTACGTTCGTCAAATACAGTCGGGTTTGTAGTCCTCGGATTGCACTATATTGGTTCAACAGACCTCTTAACGTGGACCAACGGTTGGGGCCTGAATCGAACGGGTCACCAATGAAAACAGCATTAGATCACCTGATTGGTCCATCCGGTCCATCAGGAAGTTCTAAGACTGCAAACAAATTTAGGCAGCGCCTGTGTTTACATTATTCCATCGGTTCAAGCCTAACTGAAAGTGATGTAGTTTCGTACGTGTGCAAGCTGTCGATGCACACGCTTGTAGGTGGGGTATGGATTTTTCTAACGAAAACGCGATGGACATGAATGGATGAATTACTGATAATGTCTTATCTGATTTTCTGGTTAATATTTCCCCTCCTGTTCGATCCCTTAACGAGGTGTGTTACGTTGCCTCGCTCTTATCCCATATCCACGACGATGGAAGGGACTTCTGACGGTAAGTTGGTGAGTAATACGATTGGAGTCTTTGGTCATCACCCGAGTTCCGTCCATACTATTGTACAAATTATGCCAAAATTTGAGCATTGGAATGAACTCAATACAGTATTTGTTTTTGAAGAAAGAAAGGACACAAAAGTAAGCAGGTCTATATTCCGCGTGAGATCAGGGCAATAATACAACTTTCTCAGGTTCATCCTCGCGTTTTTTCCTACGATAACCTGCGTGAAAATTCTCAAACGTGACTCAGTAGTATGGTGCGCGGAATAACTGAAAATGAAGCTTTCATTAGGCCACTGTAGGAGATAGAAAGCTGGTACACGAAGAGGTTCATGACATTTTAAAATTTGGGGAGACTTGAATGGACACAAGCTTGGTGCACGTTGGTGATTAAGTCACTGAACTTCCAAACTGTGTTTCCAGTGGGGTTTAGTATCCTTACTACTTACAAAGCTGTATAAGAACTTGATCTCCTAATGTTAAACAATCACACCGAACTAGTCATTCGGTGGTAAAATTGGTAAAAAATAACTTGATGTGACTGATGTATCGAACTGAATTCTGGATTCCAATCATAGAAAATTAGTTATGATGCTGTAAAATATCACCCACTTTCAGCACTGCCTTGCGATGAAAAAATATAATGATTCCTATTCCTATTTGCCTTAATGTTACAACTCCGTCTCTGGTGCAATCATGTTTCCATTTCTGTGCTGTATCCTACTGACTTGCGATCGAAATTTCCCTTTATTTTGACTGATAAATAAAGTCTGGACAAGCGGAGTTGTTTTTCATCAAAACATGGTGTCAGAAAATGGCAAGTTGGCGACACGTGCATAAAAATACAGAGAATCCCCTCACCAATACGCCTTCGTAGATAAACAGCCTGTCTCGGTCGGATGACCGCCCGTAGAACCGGAAACTTAATACAAAGCAAGGAATTAGACGCTATAGTTGATGCAAAACGTAATCACAGCATCTTTTTCAACCTGACCGGACCTATTTGTTCTTTTGATAATGCTCGACCGGGAAGAAAACTTCTCTACAACGAACCCCTTTTACGACAACTATCATGTTCTAGTCTCTAAAAATTGGCTAAAACTTCATGTGTTTTCATGGGGCACCGCCTGAGTGGAAAGCAGAAGGACTGAAGGACATGGAGTGCTTCATAAATGAACATCACAGGTTTTTTTTGGAGTAACTCAGACGAGTTGGTTTGACGGAACACCAGTTTGCATCCTGAGTCTTACTTTCCATTTCAGTCAATGGTTTCATTGCCACTTCTGCTTCTTCTTTTGACAGCGCCTAGTTGACATTCATCATTTTTGTGAAACGTGTGCTTGAATTTCTCCAAGGTAGGGATTGAAAACACACCCGCTTTAAAACCTATAAGGAATCAGGGTGGTATGCATCGGGATGGAACAACTTGTTTTAAACTAGGTCTTGCAAGGAAACCAAGCATTTAAGGAAGTCTCTGGGAGCCTTATTTCTTGCTCACTTCAAAAGTTTTTGAGATGTAGATTGACAATTTTACCCTGAAATGTCCATCCGTCTATAATCTCTCGGATGGCCATAAGACTAGTCGGAACGTCTAATTTGTGAACTACTTTTTCATAAAGGAAACTACTCACAAGGTTGCAGAAAACTCTTCGACAGCGCACGACCGGTTTCGCCCTTCTTGGGGGTCATCAGATAGGCGCCGTCCACGAGTTTCCGTCAACCTTATGTTCTACTTGAACCCAAATTGGACTGTTTTCGAGAAATACACTCATTGGCAAATCAATCTGGTTTTCACGGGAAACTCAATTGAATCTCTCATGAGGCGGCATGTGTGCGGCACATTCACTTGGAGGACATCATAAACGAGGGACTCAACTGAGGTCTCCCGTGAAACGAGATTGATTTGTGAAGTGCTTGTTTCACTCCGCGACCCCTTTTTTCTGTGACGGCGTGCAACTTAGGATATGTATTACCATTGATGTATTGAACAACAGTTCATGACTGTATGCAATTCGTATCGCAGGATAAGCGGTTTGACCAAGGTTATCGTTGAAAAATTTTGTTTCTTGACATGAGCCCAAGCAACCTGTGTGGCAGAAACATCTCGCCCCATCATTATTTTTTTAAGTCAGGGGACTATCTGTCTGAGACCACTCAGCACGCGCTTATTCCATTTGAGTTGCAGGTTGATCATATACTTTCAACGAAGCTGTCTGATAATCGAATTGTTTCTCATCATTACAGTAACCTTGATAGTGTCCTAAAATATGGCCAAGGAGCATTGTTGTGAACAAAGTCACAAATCTTCCAGATGATTACAGATAACTGAATGGTGATGCAAGTTTAAACGGTTGCCTCAAGATCTAAATGACACTGTGACGGTGTGTACTACTGATGAAACCTGCGAGTGGTCTATGGTCTGGTCCAAGCTGCGCCCTTCATCTGATGGAATGTGAAGTTTATTGAGGAAATTGTCGAACTGCTTTGCAGCGTCCACTTACTGTTGTGCAATAGTCAATGAATATCAAGGAAATTTCAAGAGGACTCGTGGGAATGTTCAGTTTCCAAAACCATGTACAAGTTTAATTCCGTATCTAATGGCCTGTAACTGGGTAGCACGTGTTTGCTAATTAATAATTTCACTTTAAAAGGCTAACCTCCTTACACCGATACTGGTCGTTGTAGCTGACTCACTGTGGCCATAATGAAGGCGGTCAACACCCGTTAGAACGATCTGGGTGAGAATCCCGAGGTAGATCATTTGAAAAAATAAGACGTAATAATATATTCATTCGCAAATCAATTTGGTTTTCACGAGAGACTCAACTGAATGTCTCGTTTATGATGTTCTAAAACTGAATGTCGAAGAGTTTTCAGCAACCTTGTGAGTAGCTTCCTTCATGAAAATATACTGCGATATCTCGAATATCGTACCAACTGAAACATGAGGCTGCCTGTGTGCGGCAAATTCAGTTGTAGAACGTAATAAACGAGAGATTCAGTTAAATCTCTCTTGAAAACCAGATTGATTTGCAAATGAGTGTATTTCTCGAAAACAGTGCCATTTTGGGTTCAAGTGGATCATAAGGTTGACGAAAACTCGGGGACTGCACCTACCTGATGAGCCCCAAGAAGGGCGAAACCGGTCGTGGACTGTCGAAGAATTTTCAGCAACCTTGTGAGTAGCTTCCTTCGTAAGACTATTAAGTTTCGTTGGATTCCGGATTTTCGATTTGGCACTAGAAAAGTCAGCACATGTTATGCACCAACTAATGTCTCTCATGTAGTGTTAAACGAGGTGACATTCCACCGCTCAACCGTCACTCAGACAGAGATAACTGTCGTGCGAAACTATCCTCTCACGCTGGAAATCAATATTGTTTAATTTATTAGTTTTACCGGTCACTCATCTTCAAGGATGACCGAAATCACACTCTGAACACACAGCTGAACATAAAGGTCAACTTTTTGGCTTTGTTAGTAATGTGAAATATGATTGCCCCTCACTAAATTTGGCATCACTCATCAACTGAAGTTCTTTCGGGCGGTCAAAGTTCCAAGACAAGTTCAGATGAATGTTAGTTGGTCAAAGAGGATGAAAGCTAATGGGTAGCGGTGACCCTGTCGCCATTTCTTGCCAAGGTTCTCCTGGCCAATTCAGAATAACACTTCGGTGAACATCGATTGAACGTTTGTTATGCATTCAGCTCCCCGGCCGAGAAAACTGACACGGTCATCCAAACAAAACACTGGCCATGATTAAATGCTTGATCAAACAAGCATTAAACGGTCAAACGGGTTGGCCAGTTGTACACTGGTGAAGGATGAGGGGTTATGGTTTTTATCAGCACAGTGTACCATCAGAAACCAAACAGAGTTCACAAGATCCACTGGAGGAATGACACGAACACATCGGAAACGAGAATTATCTGGGTCACCCCATGGTACATTCAAGTCAGGAGAGATTCGACGGACATACTGTTTATAGTTTTCCTCAGAGCGAGTGTAGGGTGTTTTGCTACAGTACGGTCCCTAATTAGCATACTACACTTAGCGAGCTTGTGTATCCCATTCGGGTTGAGGTGAAGGCTGCAGTCTGACTGATTCAGTATATCCACGTGAGGGAATCTAACTCCTTATACGGTAATTGTCAATTGCCTTATCACAGTGTTGTGCTCTTCCGTCCACTCGTGGTAGAGTGGCGATTTTAATTGTACTCGTCAGTCTTTTGTTTCCTAAATTCGTTTAAGATTATTGATCCAGGGGTTTACTAGATTGTAACTTTCGTGATTCTATGAATTGCGACAATTCACCCTTCATTTCGTGAGTTTTGTCATCCCAGCAGTCCAGTCCAGTCGCCGTGTGACTGGCAAATACCTGAAGATCGAAGGTGTTCAAATGATGTGTTGCTCCAAATACAACTGTAAAAATTAACATGCGCGCAGCCCAAGTGTTGTTGAGTTGTAACACCTTTTTCTTCCCTAGCTGCCAAGCCACACCAAGGAAGCACAAGGACTGGGATACTGCTAGATTGCCCAAGCCTAGAGAGGGGATGTCGAGAAGCAGAGGTCGGGTTCAAACCGCGGACCTTCCGGTCAGTAAATTCGCCACACCAAGCACAAGGACTGGGATACTGCTAGATTGCCCAAGCCTAGAGAGGACCTGCCGAGATGTGGCCGTTGACTTCGAACCCAGTCAGTGGGTCGCGCCACAATCACCTCGAGCCATCTCGTTTATGGTCCTCTAATTCTGAGTTACCTGACTGTCTGATAAACTGCTGAAAGTTTGACCTTCTAGGCATCAGACAGAGAGAGACTTTGACCGATGGAATCTAGGTTTATGGGACCAAGCTCGACAGCACGCAACACATACACCACTACGAACAGTGCATTTTTAGCAAGGTCGCATTCTACAGGCTGGTATGGAATGGGCGACCGAAATCAACGAAGAACACGATCTGCTCACATGACGTAGTCTGTTGGTACATCAAGAGATATCTCTGTCACTGGCCAAATGACTTGACAGAACGGTGTCCAATATCCGAAATGAACGCCGAAATTTGCGCTGCGATAAAAAAAACTACACGGCATTTGAAAACGAACTCTTGCTTAATTCAACTACGAGATAAGCATGAGCCTTCATAAAATTTGTAGGAACACAGTACGGTTGACAGTATTTTACTCGTCCACATCGGTTACACTGGGAGAGTGGGACTAGTAAAACAACCTGTTTCCTTTTTGGCCGGTTGCATCCACACAAACGTATTTATTCTGTAGTGGAGGCCCTAGAAAGCTATCCAACCGTGTAGAAAATGTCATATTATTAAATGATAGTACAAAAATGAAGGAAGTATGTTGTAAAGTATGTTTTTCGATCCATCGATATTTGATGTTGGGATACGTCGCATAGGTGATTACTAAAAATACATTATCTTTATTTTTATACAGCTCACTTGCACTATGATACGATTCAGTTAACTTGAGCTGACTCTTTGATTGGATGGCCCCAAAGCTGTTGAGGTCAATATCGATTTGCTTTCGAGTGATTCAAGTTATCGGTCCGTTCGACGGATGTTCGTCCCAATCCCTTATGCCTCAATCGTGCATGTTTATACCAGCTTACTCGAGGCTGGTGCCCGATCTACCCGCAACACACGCTGTCACTTTAGACTGTTGGCACCTTGTCCCGAGCCCACAAATGCCAGCGTAAAAGCCGTACTACTTACGAAGCTTGTGTTGTAATCGCGGACCATTTGATTCACCCACCCATTTAAATGTTGATGCCGGCGTTTAATCCCCTCGAACGTAACCCTAAAATTTCCAGTCGAACTCCCTAATAAGAGGTTTCTGTAAGGGCGACACTTTGAACATGCTGTCAGCTTTTATTCTCTCAATAACTTTATTATTAGAAATCTGGTAACACAGGAGGGTATCTGTGGGTTCAAGTAGGTTGACGGAAACTGGAGGACTGCGCCTATCTGATGAGCCCCAAGAAGGGCGAAACCGGTCGTGGGCTGTCGAAGAGTTTTCAACAACCTTGTGAGTAGTTCCCTTTATGAAAATATACCGGGATATCTCGAATATCGTGCCAACTGAAACATGAGGCTGCCTGTGTGCAGCACATTCAGTTGTAGAGTATCATAAACGAGAGGTTCATTTGAGTCTCTCTTGAAAACCAAATTGATTTGAGAATGAGTGTATTTCTCGCAGACCCTCATTTTGTTAAATGAAGTTGCGTTTTTCAGCCAAACGACGTGCTTCAGTAAAAGTGTTCTCCACTATATCGTAAGTTAAGATCACCTGAAAGTTTCACTTACTTTCACACAACCAATCGGCTTATTTTACTTACAGTTTCTCTAATTGTAGACTGACTGCCTTGCTGCCTGCAGAGAGACTCAATATACGGAGGGAGTGGGGTGAGGGGAGTATCTTACTTTCCACACGAAAGTGAAACATCACAACCCCGTGTTAAATGCGGAGATTTGAATGGGATTCTTGTTTTTAACAAACTTCAGCTGATTATGTAGCCTACCTCATTGTTCGGTTGGGTTGATGTTCAAAATCTCGAAGATTTTTTCCCTGATTAGTCAATTAAAAATAACCGAGATCACCAAATGCCAGTTGTTTTCACTCTAAATAAAGCGATAAATCACATGAATGACCCAAAATGCTGTATAGACACCTTATGTACCTCATACAGAAGAAGCAATCATCCGTGCAACAAGGAATGGCCATTTGTGGGAAAAAAGTCCTGGTATCGTCTGAAGTCTTTTCTCCTGGAGGGCCTCCATCAATCAAACAGAAATCTATAACAGGAACATGCTGAGTTGAAGTGAGGCCGTCTTTGTTAGACAGGCTAGTCCGGTAGTATGAAGCTATGTTCCGTGGTGAACCAGCCAGGCGGATGAGCCAAGAAGTATACGTTAGGTAAGAAGATAATCATTACTTTGGGGTGAATACCTTTCATTGAAGTTTCATTATGAGCTAACTAGAAGACTTTCAGGCAAGTCGGGAGGAATGTCCGTTGAGCTTTCCCTAAGCACTGTTCACAAGGCTCTCTGCTCACTCAGGGACCGGAAGGTCCGTGGTTTGAACCCAACCCCTGCCTCCCGACTTTTCCTGTCTAGGCTTGGGCGACCTGGCAGTGTCCCAACCATCGTGCTTCCTTCGGGTGGCATGGCAGCTAGACGCCAGGAGGGTGTTAGAGCTGGACGATTTTTTTCAGCGATGAAAAGCTTCACAGAAGTTTTGCCTTTTAACCAGAATAGCAGTATTATATTTGTCAGGATTTACCCCAGTCACCTTCTGTTCTTGAAACAGTAATGACTAAACCCCAAACTTTGGGAAGCAGACATCACGATCAGCACTACAGTCTGTAAGCCATGAGAACATTGCCTTAAAATGCACCAGACAACACAAGGTTGTTTAGGGCAGAAAAAACAGTAAAAAACTGGCATAGTACTACATAACAAGAGGAAGGCCTCCTCAGGTTTTGCAGGTTTGAGGCAACAAGGTTGTTCCACAAAATCCTTTGTTTTCCAAAACATCCAATTCGGTTTATCTTCATTTTTGAAGATTCTAATTCCACGCTTTTTTGTCATTCCCAGGGAGTTTATTCCTGCAGCGTTTGATCAGGATATTTCTCCCATTTGGTGCATTAAATAATCGATTAATTCCACTACACGAAGCGGATAACCATCTCCGAATGACCGCACTTTTCTGGGGCCCTTGGTCTGAATGGCAACCTTGTCCGGATCCCAAGTTGTTGTGTGTCCCCTTCGGGATTTCGCTGCACCAGGGAACTGCTGTGCGCAGAGCTCGCATGTGCGAGCGACAAGAATTCAAGCGAAACTCAACGACAAATACATTTTATCGGATAAACGTCGACAACGAATTGGTTCCGTGCTCAAAAGAGCGATCGACAGAACAGCAAATAAAACACTGCCCATTGCCCCCTCGATGTAGTGGCTCGAATGGACCGCCTGCAGTTAGGGATGAACAAGGATTCCATGGTGAGTTGAAAAGTCTTTTTAGAGGTACCCACAATGAATAAGTTGTACAACGCAGAGGTTGGTCTTCCAAGATAGAACTGTGCCCACTGATAAGAGTAAACACATACACACACACACACACACCACATTTGGCTGATCGTTCAAAGTTTTTTCTCTGAAAAGACCGGTTGTGGATAGTATTCAACTCTTGTCAGTCTATCCGGGTGGTGGGGGATAACTATACGTTCACACTTCAATTGGATAAACGATTCCAAGTAGTTATTGCCGAAAATGACGGAAATGTGAATACATATAAGGGAAAGCGGAAAGTCCTTTTGGGTGAAATCGTTCTTTCGTACTGGCTGACTCCAACGGTCTGTGTTGAAATCCGCAAATAGGTACCGAACTAACCGAGGTCAACATGGGGGAACTCCTGAATTCAAAAGAAGGGGTGTAGATGGTGGCAATAATAAGTAAGAAGCACAAAAACGTCCAACACCTAAAAAATACAACAACTAATCAAGGCCCAGGGTCTAACAACACGGCCGCACGCAAGTGAATCATCAGATACACAACCTAGGATTCTCTCAGTACAATCTAGTGCTTGAAGCTCCGTTCAATGATGACATTCTCTCTGTGGCAGCTAACTCCAGCCTGAATCAACGAAACTCAAGCTACAACACTTATGTCTTCCCTAAAACCATTTTGTGAGGTGTATGAGTCTTTTCCGAACAAGGAGGCATACGATAACAAAGCTTCTGGATCGATTGACTTAGCCCTAGCGATTCCATCACGACTGCTGGCTTAGTTGTGATAATCCTCTGATTGAACTATCGAGTAATCTTAGCTAAACGTTCCCGCCCCCAACGCAGATACGTTGAATCTTACTAGCATAACCGGTGACCTAACGGATGATCGTGATATGAACAAGGCGAATGGAACGACACAGTGGTCTGTCTAGTGCTGATATACTCAGGTAAAATAAAGCCAGAGACTTTGGAAGCATGGAAAGATAGGTTTGTAGAGAATAACGCACCAGCCAGATGTTTTTGCTTCTCCTCATGATATGAACGTGGTTTGGTAATTTGACAGACGTCAGACTCAAATCAAACTCTGGTTAGGAAGACTGAAACCAATCTCTCATAAACGCCAAAAAGCAGTATATCTTGTGGATGGATCGTGTTAGGATGTTAAAACTCCTGTTGTTCCGTCTTTGAAACAGGAAACGCTGGAAAGGGTAGGCACACATGTAAGTAAAGTTCATGTCTTGTGAAGAAGCTTATGAAGAGACTGGACAGACTGATTGCCCAACGAAAAAGTTGTATGGCATCTAACAGAAGATGCCAGTACACCAGGTGCCCAACCAGACCTTGAATCTTATATTTCCTGATCATATGGACCAACAGTATTGATGTTAGTTAGCTCAACGAACAGAATGCCCTTCTTACTAACTCTGTGATTGGATTCTTGCGGGATCTGTTTCTATGCCGAACGAACTCTGTTGGAAAACTTTTGACTAGATATGAGCACGTAAAGATCTACCACTCTTCTCAAAGCCCGTTCCAAGGGGTATGTACCCAGTGAAGCGTTCCGTATAAATTCGAATAATGAACCATGTATGCACCAGGTTAGGTGAACCAGGCTGAGTACTGGGAGGAGCGAACCTTGGATATTCGTTTCTTGATCATGAAAGGGGTAATCCAACAGTCATACTGATGCTGAGATAAGAGTACGATCGCATCTCAGTTGTGCAATTGAGGTTGCTGGTCACATTTTCTGATAATAACGCTAAGAACAGCTGGAAAAAGTGATTTCAATGCATATCTTTGTAATGTACTACTCATAAGGTTACTGAAAATCCGTCGACAGCCCACGACCGGTTTCGCCCTTTTTGGGGCTCATCAGGTAGGCACGGTCCCCGAGTTTCCGTCAACCTTATGTTCTACTTGAAACCAAATTGCACGAACTCAGCGAATATACACTCAGTTGCAAACTAAGTTGGTTTTTCGATAGACTCACCTGGAACCCCACTGAATCTCTCGTTTGTGATGTTCTCAGGCAAACGAGATATTCAGCTGGGTTCCAGGTGAGTCTCTCGAAAAACCAAATTAGTTTTTAAATGAGTGTCTATTCGCTGATTCCAATGCACTTTATCCAAAGCACCATCCTATGTGGAATTTCTCTCAATAAAATAGCATTTCGTGACATACGCAGTTCCCAATGCTCCTATGCTGCATTACTTCAGAATCTCGGTCTTCAACCTCCGAACTCATTTCTACCAAGTCACCAATCAGAAGTAGTCCAAGTTCTGTGACGTTTGGAATACTCACTACCACTTATGAATCCGTACGTACGGTGGTAAATCAAACAGATCTTCCATCTGAAGGTAAGTGTATGGTATATCGGCTTATGATATGCACACAAATCAGGGCATTATCTATATGCCAGTTGGTATGAAAGCGCTAAAATTTCAAGAATTTTGTAAGCAATGGGTAGAATTTCGAGGTTCATATCTGGATCCCTCTACAGTTAAAGTCGAGAAGTACAGTACATCTGGTGCGAATCGTCACAGTGCGTCTTGCAAACCCTAGATTTTCTGTTACTGGCTGAAGCAGCCGTTGAAATAGTCATCGACTGAACGATCAGTCATGTCGGTAAATCAATCAACCAATCGTCCATCAGTTCCGCAGTTCATATGTTCACTGGCTTCTTATGTGTGAACTTCCATGTTTCTAATGAGGATTTACGGACGATCAGTAATGTCGGTAAATTAACCAATCAGTTGTCAATCAGGTACGCAGTTCATATGTTCAATGGCTTCTTATGTGAGAACTTCCATGTTTCTAATGAGGATTTACGTTTTCCCATAAGTCGCTGGCTGCCAACGATTCCTAACAGGAAAGTACGGATTCACGAACTCAGCGTAGGTTGTCTTGGCTTGCGGATTGAAAGGTAGGTTTGACAGTTTAGTCTCCTAACTACTACAAAATGCCACTTGTTTAGGAAAGAGAACATTCCACAGGTCACATGCACCTCGATAAACTGGCCAGTCAACTTTAGATCATGTGACATGAAATACTTGATTGAAGGGTGCATGTTATTGTTCCTTACCTAAGTCAGACTACTGATTAGATTGCTGGTATCATATTGAAATATTTGGACTCTTGCTGAAAAGGGTTCGAGCTTCTTTGATGATCCGCTTAATACTCACTCTGGGTGTTTCTCAAGTTTCTGATATATGCTTATCGATAGCGATGTTGTTCAGCCTCAACTTCGAACTACTGACAAAAAATAACGTTAATGAGGAAAAAATCTTTCAAGCACATAATCGGAAGAATGTGGTTTTTGTTACGTATATGGAAGTACTATTGGTGATCATGCCTAATTCTTTGTAAGGTCTGTGACTTGACTTTAGCTTTACTCCAAGGGTATCGTTTGCATGTTCCCTCCTCTGAACTGGAAAGTTCATGGAGAAACTATGGGTTTCGATAGATAAACTCGTTGACACATCAATTTGCTTTTCAAGAAAAAATCAACTGAATCTCTTGTTTACGATATTCTCCGACTGAATATGCTTCACAAAGACTGTCTCATGCTTCCGTTAGCATGATATTCCAGATATCGCGGTATATTTAAGCGAAAGGAAACTACCCACAATGTCGAAGAGTATTCGGCAACACTGTGAGTAGTTTCCTTTCATGAAACTGTGGGCTTCCTCGAAAATGCGGCCAAAGGGATTTTGGATACAGTTGTCTGACGTGAGGTAGGCCTATTCTCTTTACGTTATACCACAAAAAATTTGTCTTAGTTGAGTAGGAAGAGGAAATCCGGAAAGATATAGTGCTAGGCTATATTTGTCTACACCTGCTCACTCCCTAGTGAACTGTCTACTGTTTGAGTGTCTTTGGAAACATCATACTCAGTCTTCTGCTTAGAGGTTGTTTCGTTAGGGTATGACGTTTTCGAATGCCACCCAAATCAGTTAAAGACGGAACTTTCCTTTCGGTGGCCTGTGATACACGGCGAATAACACTTGCCGAACCGAGCGTCAGTTTTCACAGTGTGATTTTCTTGCCTGGTGACTCTGGCGATGTCTATATATATATATATTAACAACGCGGCTAACAGTCTCGTCTACACTACCTCATTTTCTCATCAGTTCGAAGATGCACTAGTCCTTCAAAGTGACCACCACAAAATAAGTCACTACTCCAGAGGGTTAAACACAGCAGTCCACGTCTCCCAGAATACAATATCCAGCCCATAAACTAATACAGAGTCCACCCCCTATCGTGTTATGCGAAGCAACTGTACAACTTGACTCGGAATATTTTAAATTGTGCATGCGAATTTTACACTAGCAGAAGCACAATCAGGTATGGTTAGAATTTGGTAGAAGGATTTCGAACGAATTCGGCGTTGAAAATGTTGGTCTGTGCGGAGAGCAAAACTTTCCAACCTATCACTGAATAAAGAAGAGGCTAAAGGATCCGCACACCATTAAGCAGAAGACAGATTGTCGCTTACAGTGTGAGCACTCTGTTGCACCAGTTTGACGGACGGTTGCGCCAATTCGGTAGCTCTGTGTATCACCTATTGTGCACATTGATACTGACGGGGAGAGATGGCTCAGTGGTTCGAACCCGACCTCTGCGTCTCGACTTCCCCTGTCTAGGCTTGGGCAACCTCGCAGTATCCCGGCACTCGTGCTTCCTTCTGATGGGATGGGAGTTGGGCATCGAAGGGGCGCTACAGATGAACGACCTATTTACATGCCGTTCGGTACCGTATGTGATCCGGTTGCAAATTGCAGAAAGGCCAATGCTAACACTGATGCTTCACTGCTCTGTATTTACCAGTAATGTATCCAGTTATCCGAAGGGTAAACATTCTGGCACACAAGTTGTTACGCTCGACTGGAACCCGATGGATGACTTTGAAGAGACTAACATATGATGTTGTGTGATGGCTTGTGAACCCCCATGACCTATGGAGTCAAGTCAGAAATATTCGCAAATAATTCTCAAATTAAGCTACTCGGTGCATGGTAGCCTAACCTTGGGGCTTGCAACAGTTGGTTATTGATTCCTAATTTCCCAATTAAGACAGCCACCCTTTGGTCAGGCCCTGATTAAAGATCCTGTCGGCCCTCCTGCCAGTGTCTGCATCGTAGTCTTTCTCTATTCGCATGCCTCGTGCCCCACTGATAGTAGCCCTTTTTGGGCTAATCCACGAACAACAAAAGCTCCCTTCACCTTGGACGGCATCGCTCGGTAACCATAAGCACTTTGATTTGTTATTCGAACACCAATATGCCCGATCCGCCTGATGTCATTAGCGTTCTGACTCAAGGAAGCTGGACGTCATGTTGTTTTCGTTCTTTTCAGACTCGTTATTTTAAATACGCATCCAAGTATGACTATCGAGTTGACTATCTCGTCGGTTTCCTTTCACTTGTTGTCTATTTCCGTTTAA